TGATCTTTCTCTGACCACACTCATGCAAACGTAACGTCCATGATAGTGGAATGAGCCATAACAGAGTCGTCACATTGCCACCCTATCACGAACACAAGAAGAGAGAGATCACAAATCCTACTGATATCGAAGCGTTAAACAACCTTGATGACTTTTCCTGCTCATGTCGGTAAATCAACTGCCAGAAAGTGACATATCCCATCACTGTTCATACTCTGTCAGGGATATAAAATAATATTACCGACTCGATCTACCGTCACTCTTCATAAGAGTTGTTGATATCGTTGCCAGTAAGGAGACGAGACTTGGCAAGGCAGCTCGGTGTTGGGAAAGAGGTGGCTTTCAGAGGTCAAGGTGAACGGTCATGAGCTATTTTGATGAACCTGCACTAGGGACAGTTGAAAATCCTTAATGGCCCTCATTTCCATACCAGAGGTCGAGAGCTTGCCGCAGACTGTTGACGTTGTAGGCCAAGGTACCCAGCAACCCTACGCGCGTCGCACAATGGTGTCAAGCGAACTACGGGCTCTCGTTTGTGCCAAAAAGTGAGCTGAGATTTGTCAGATTCAAGGCACGTACATTGGTCTTATTACAGCAACACAAAGCAATTTAGAAGTTAGCACAGAGCTATATTGACCATTTGATATGTTCACTTTAAAAGATAAAATACCTGATCATACACTTATAATGATTATTATTGTTGTCCCCATAATAATAACATTATTCACTGCTGGATTACTATTGATATATATATATATTTTTTTCCCTGACTACTGTAGAGCTTCCTGCATTTGTTGTTGTCACGATGTAACGTCCATAAAGGTAGCATCCAAGAGAAAATGGAATGGCATAATAATGATCATTATTACTATGTCTCTTTCCTCTTTCAAATGTTTTGAAAAACGAAATTAGCAGTTAGCCTGCTGATAGGTGAATCGGTCTTGTCAAAAAGAAAACAGACTTTATCATGGATATTGTAATTTGTAAATTAATGATGCATTTCGGTCATTGATCTTAATGAAAAGAGTCTTTCTCAAATCGTTACAGAGATGTCAGTGAAACAACACGGGCATTTCACTTTCAGCCGAATTTAGATTGCAGTGATCCCAAATTCTGAGATCTTCAGGAGTTCTAAATCTTCCAGTCTCTACTTTTACATTATGATTTCCAATCCTAAATTTGGAAGCCACACGTCTACGTTCGGGATTCCCGATAGGATTGATGAATTCAGAGTAATTTGTTTCACTTTCGAAGATGGAGTAGAATTTTAGTTTTGTCTTTGTTCTCATCAAATTTAGCTGGTGGTTTTTTTCAGATGTTTTGACACATAATATTATTTTCAGCTTTGCATGGGAAATTAGACTCGAGGGCAATTCCACACGAGACAATGAAATTTTGAATTTTTTAAAATAAAATTTTGCACAATGAAACTTAACCAAGAGAAAGCTGCAACAACGGGCTGTTTGAAATGAAATTTTGAAATTTATAACCTTTGCCTTACACTATCATTATCGAGCCACTAGCACTTTCCTAAGAAAATTGACATTGAATTTTTTTTCAGTTCCTGTACACGGTGTGCTGTATTTTCATGTGCTATTGATGCTGCTCAGTTAGTCTGATGTATACTCTGTTTTAACCTCAAAACATTTCCTGGGTGGGTTATCTTTGCTCAGAAATTATAAGTTGAAAAGTGTTGCGGACATTACAGGTGTTAGATTTCTCATTTATTCAGGCTGTTGCGGATATTTAGTTCTTACTATCTCTGAATTAGATTCAGACAACAGCCCACTTAACACTAAATTGCTTTTTATTGATGTACAAATGTAAATGGCAAATTAAAAAGAGCTGGTAGCTTTTCCATAACGTCCAATGAATTTAATTTACAGACTATTAAAACCATTCTAAATAATTTTCGATTTCTGCGATATTCTTGAAAATGGGCAAACACAGTGATTTTCGAATTAGTTCCTTCCGTAAAGTAGTATCGATGCATGATGAATTTTGCAGTACTTTAACAGAAAAACTGAAAAATATTTTAAAGACTTTACATGGTTTTGGGGGACGCTGTCACAACATTACAGAGTGACATTTGTGTGGATCTTTAACCGTGTTTCAAGAGTCATAACTTGATCCCTGTTCAACTTTAGAGCACCAAACCTGCTCAACCAACCAATCTCAACATGACCTTTTATATGGTGGTGTCAGTTTATCGATTAGTTTAAATTTGAAACTTGCCCCAGTTCCCTACGCAACTCCAAAATGGCCAATGAGAACAGTTTGTAAGCATTCTTTTTGAGGAAAACCACTGACCATCACTGTTTCTTCCGCAAACTTGAATGGGTATTTTTGTTTTTTTTTTTAGCTAGAATTTGTAATATAATGTGTAGTGAGCAATGTGCAATTTTAGTGCAAATTTACATTTTGTCTTTAAGTCAGACTGAATGACAAAACATGATAATTTCAGTAGCTAAATCAGTTTTGTAAAAAACAAAATAATATCCTCCCTACTGAGAACGTTTTTTTTCTTCTCACAACAGTTACTTGAGATGTAATAAGACTAATTTGGAAAATATTGGGAGCAGAAAACAATCTGACTGGTATAATTGCATGATACTAGGTCTCAGCAAGAGATTATATAATGTTATAATAGAACACAAGTAAAGTAAATGATGATTTCACGGCTTCATTTTTAGACAAGTAACTGCAGAACAAATGGACATAGCCACAGTCAGCAACACTCCGCAACAATTTTGTGTCATGTCCGCAACACAGACTTTTGTAGATTCACACCACACAATCAATCACAATCAATCAATCAATCAATCACAAGTTTTTACGCAACTCTCTCATATTTGTATAGTCGTGCGAATGTTATTCTTAAATGCAACAGTTCCTTGTATTTTTATACCCGCAACCACCTTTGATTCAAGTTGAAGTTCTCAACATGACCGTGAAATGGGTCGACTCTTAAAACGGCAAGACTACACCGACCACAGACCTCGTGACGGTTTTCGACGCCAGCTTGGCGACTAGGCAAACGCGTGAGAAAGTACAGTGTCTGTATGAGAATCTAATGTGGAATAATTCCCATAAAAACGGCTGTTCTGAAGAAAAAAAAAATGACTTGTAAACTAAAGCTGCAAAGCAAAGGAAACCGACCATTCTTACCAAAACAGAAGACACCGTGGCGACAAGGGACACTTGTACATGTACAAATTGAGTTCGCACTGACAGTCATCATCTGAGGTGCGTACGGTGGCGATGACACTTGAAGAAAATAAAAAGGAAAAACAAAGCTGTCAATTTCCAGGTCCTAATGGGTCTGAAAGTCAATCGATTGCTGTTTCATCGCTGCGCGTATAACTTAATTACGTAGGTTGGCTTTCATGAGCCGCCATAGCTAGCTAGAGGCGTCACAGACATATCGCAAATGAATGAAATTACGCAAAGAGAACGCCCAGCGGCAAGTAAGGTTGAAATCAACTTACAGCAGCTGAAAAGCCTTTGCTGTACTCCTGTACTCGAATGATATTATACAGCACTACAGAGTCTCCAAATGCCATACTCCGTAATTCTTTGGACAAGGTTACCTTGAACAGCGGTTATATCGATACCTACTGTGTAGCCGCGCGCACCATCGGGGGGACCTTTCGCGGTAGGTTTACATGATGAACTATGGAACGCAACTGCTCTGACAAATTTCTAGTCCAAGACTTCGAAGCTCATAACTTATCTTTCCCAGGTAATTATGGATTCCAAATGATATTCTTTTTTTTTTCTGAGTTCCCTTCATATTAAGCAGGGGCACCCAACGACAATTTTCGGAAAAATATCTGTTCGGAAGACGATTTTAGAGCTAGAATTTTCGAAACATTTGTTGTAAAATTTCTTGCTTGCCTGCCTCTCCTAGGATTTTCGAACATCTAAAAATTGGTATAATTGCCTATTTTTAACGGATTTTTACCCTAAAAAGGTCACCTAGAATTTTCGGGAGCCTTTTTTCTGGCTGAAATTTTCGAAAGGGTAAGTTTTGATCCCTATAATTTTCGGATCACTAGACTTTCAGCTAGGAAATCCGAACAGATGAAAAATTTTTAGGGAATAAAAATATGCCTATATCTAACCGTTTAAAGACTAAAATACGTTTAACAATGCTATATTTAAGTGTTTTTGAACTATATTCTCGTTGGGTGCCCCTGATTAAGCTTAGCTCACCATGGTGTAATCTGGCAGGAGTTCCACTTTTGGTTTCCTCCTCCTGTCGAGTGTGTTGTTTTTGTGAGAGGTGAAATGAAATGAAATTCAGGGCCCGGTTGTTCAAAGCTGGGCTAAGATAACCCGGGGTTAGTGCGAAATTTGAATTCAGATTTGAACGCTTAAAAAGTATATTCAGTTTAATTCTTTCTGTCGGCAAGTTGATGATTGGATGATTGGCTCTTAAAAATAACGGAGAAACTTATCCGAGAAAAGGCTTTTGAATAAAAGAAAAAGAAACCCGGGTTAAATTTAACCCTAGGTTAAGCGCTAATCGGCCTTCGAACAACTGGGCCCAGGTGAACATCTTCCGGTAACCCAGGTTGATTCTACAAAGCCAGGGGAAGTACATGTACTGGAAATTATCCCAAGGGCCATTTCTTTCGGTCATTCTCCCCCCAACAACAGTTACCGTAACTGACCGACACACAGCACATTCCTTTCACACTTTTATTTTACACACTCCTCGGGTGGAAACCTGGCCCGTTCACAATTGGTATCAGCGGTCGACAACCTCTAGCTTCCGAAAATCTCCTCGACAAATGTCATTTTCCTCCCTTATCGTACATTTCTGTGTTAGAAAAAAAGAGACAACTGGCCCTAGAGTTCTCATTTTGATCCTAGTGTTCATTTTCATCCTGTTTGAAAAAAAGAAACATCCTAGAGTTGTCATTTTGATCCTAGTGTTCTCATTTCTCATGCTAGAGTTCTCAATTTGTTTTGCTCTTTCTCTTCCGGTTTGCAGGTCAGGATTCCCTCGTCCCGTCCATGACCGCTTTGTGTATGGTACGCAAGCTGGTCTGCAGCCGTTGGCCATGGGCGCGCCCTTTGGCAGGGGCCACCTTCACGGGGACTAGCGACTCTTTTGACTCCACCCACTGGTCACCATCCAAGTGCGGGGTATAGATGCCCCCTGCAGTGTTCCTGTACCACAGAAGGAGGACTTGGTCCTCTGGCAAGAATGCTTGGACACGCCCCAGGAAAATCGAAGGCTGCCGTAGGGTGCTGTCCTCAGCTACGAGTCCGACAAAGTCTCCGACCCTGATCTCCGGTTCGTCGCTGGCCGGCTGGTGGCTGGGCCCAGCAACCTCGACGTCAGCTGGCCCTTCTTCGGCCTTCCGCCTGGCCAACTCTAGTGCCATGGTCTTTCTCTCGTTGGCGGTGCGTCGGTCGTACGTCTTCTGGGCTTGCTCTCGGGAGTGTCGGAGGCAGGCGGCAAGGCTCTCTTTCATGCGGTCGTCGCATTCGCTAAAGACAGAGGAAAGAACACAGACGGTTATCAGCGGTGTGGCTATAGTGTTTTAAAGCAACAGATTCCAAAAATTTGGGGGGGGTCAACGGCGAAATCTCCACGCTGCCCCCTCCCCGGGCTCTGTCTGGTGATGTTACTGGTGGGTCTCGGGGATCCACCACCTTTATGGCGACGTGCAGTTCAATAGTGATGCAGACCTACCTCTGCGAATATGCCCAGGTTACGAAAGAGGACCTCAGCCCAAAGCTTGCGACCTTGTTTCCCGTCAGGTTCTCGAACATCTTCTGTAAATGTTGTGTGAACGACGAACTGGAGAAGGGTGCACCTTTCGAATTCTGAAATGAAATAGAGAGGAGAATCCAAAGTCAGAGCTCGTCACTCCATTTTTTACACCTCATTACTGTCACCTACAGTTCCCAAGAGTCCTGTTTGGCCTAAAAATGCCTAATCAAGTTTCAAGTGCTATTTCACCAAGCTGGACAATTTTGCTGAGCTATAGCTGCTAACACGGATACTTACCAGAAACACGTAGTTGCTGGACGGTTTTGGGTGAAGCACGCTTCTGAATTGCGACACAAACTCTTTGAAGCGTCTGCAGAGTTCGCTGTCTACCTGCGGGGAAGGAACAGAGAAAAATTACTTGAAGTCCTGTAATTTAAATTACTTTTAATGGCAAATAATGTTATTTAGAAGGGAAAAGATGCACCCCGGGGATCTGCTAAGTAGGCTGTTGTTATCATCGTTATTGATTCAGACACGTGCTTAGAGCTTTTTGCTTTCCTCAGACCTTTATCTTTCCCTGGTCATTGATCGTAGCCATCGAGTCGTTTGAACTTTGATAGGGGAGGTAGGGGGTAATGCGATTTGTTGTCAGGAAAATGTGCCACGGGAAACTCTGCTTTTGTTCGCATAACTCGAAGAAGTAACGATAAGAATTACCTGTATTGGAATTGTTTCCGCGCCAATGTGCTTGGCTGTTTTGAACATCCCCAGGTGGAGCATGATGCCTCCTTCCTTCTTGACGAGGGCAACATTTCTGTCACGATACCGTGCTTGCTCAAAGGGCTCTTCAAGTTCGCGTTCCCAAACCAACTCCAATGTCCGCACCTCAAGGCCTCTGCTGGGTGGGAGGTGGGTGTAGAGTGACAAAATCAGCAGGTCACGGGCCTCCCGAGCGCGTTGCCGCCGGTCTTTGGCCAGCTGAGACCGGCAACGCTGGGCTTCCCTGGCTTGGAGGACCTCATCCCTTAAGAGAAAGTGGGGACACGTGATATGTTAACAAGCCAGTGGGTCATTAGTCATTAAAAGAGGCTGATGTCAAAATGTTGAGATCTTTGTGTTGTTGTTTGAAACTTTGCAACGCATTCCACTTGGAAAAATAAGGTTCGGGTGCCTAGCCTTGGTAACACAACTATTTTCTTACTGGCATCAACATTACTAGGGGATGCCATTCATTCATTTTATTGTTCCGTTCGGTTTTATACTAGCAGACTTACCAATGCAGCCACTTGCTCTGGGCCCTGAGGTCTTCAACCGTGGTCACCCTCTCTACATCCCCCTGTTTCTGAAGTACGGTCGCCGTTCTTCTGAGCTGGGATATCAGGGGGACACCATCGAATTTTGGCCCCCTTTGCCGGTGGTAATACTTCAGAGGGTATAGGAGACTGCTTGCGTGGTTGCTAGCAGTTGCGGCACTCAAATTCCTCTCCTCCTGGTATAGAGATGAAATGGCAACATATCATCACCTATTCCGGGGACAAGAACGAGAAGTCCAAAGACTACTGCAAAGCTGATTTAAAACAACGTGTATTGTTTCTTTTCTTAACAATATTTCGGCTGGCCATACCAGCCTTCTTCAGGTTTACAGATGTTACTGAACTTATGTAGCAATCTCAATATTGTATAGATGGAGAACATTCTCCATCTATATAATATTGTGATTGCTACATAAGTTCAGTAACATCTGTAAACCTGAAGAAGGCTGGTATGGCCAGCCGAAATATTGTTTAACAAAAAAAAAAACAATACACGTTGTTTTAAATCAGCTTTGCAGTAGTCTTTGGACTTCTCTTTCTCGTCTTTATATTTTGGCTGATTTGATCTCTTTTCTAGAGATCCAACGTTTACAACTAGCAGGATCTTCGTCCACGGTTTTTGCAGTTAATTTAATCCCTTCCCGGGGCGTGGTTCTCAAAGAAACAGCCTCACGACCTGGGGTACCGTATACATTGTTTCAAAGAAATCCTATAGACGGTTCTTTAGGTGTAACAAAAAAGACAAAATTCCACACTTCCGTTTTGTCGCAAAAATTCTGTCTAGGGGATTTCTGTCTCTCCCTCCCCAAAACAAAATTATTTCTAAGCGCTAAGTAAATCCTGGTTTCCAGTCCCCTTTTTGGGCGCTCGGTCACGATATTTCGCGTCATAATGCGCAATAAAATGTTTTTGGGAGGTAAACTGACAACCTACATCAATAATATTGCAGCGATAAACAGTTCAGTGGAGATCTTCAGCTGCTAAAAATGTTCCAATTTAAAAAAGTCGTCTGCACTAAACTTCTGATGGGCTTAAACAGCAAAAGTCAAGGAAACTCCATAAAACAGTGGATATTATTAATCCTTTGAACTTCCGTGAAAGCAATTGATAACTCACAAATCCCATGTGGGGAATCTGTTAAATTGTTAACTTTCCTTGGCCATTTTTTTTGCAACTCTTGTGATTGGCCAAAATGTTTCATCACAAAAAAAGACCCTTTCAAAATGGAGTTGAAATACATTTCATCGCGTAAACGGCCTTTCTGTTGGTTTATCCATTCTCTCTGTAAAAATCAGAACATCCCTATGCGGGAAAGCGCCTTGCCGCATATCCAAAGAGAATGCCTCCCAATCATCGCTTTAAACTTCAGTTATTACGAATTTTTCATTAGCATTCATTCTTGACTTATGTTGGCAATGATCGCGAAGAACCGAAAATTAGGCTTTCTATTGACGCGTAAACAGAAATCTCCAGAATTAATAAGAGTACAGATGACTTCGTTTTCTTTCAGAGAATGAATTTCAACAGATATTCACACCATTGCGTGGGCATCATTCCCAGAATGAATACTAATAAAAAATCACCCTCGCTCAGAATGTATTGTGTTTTAAAACAACCTTGATACCCACCTTTAGATAGTCCAAGTATCCTTCGATGAGATCCCCGCGATTGAAATCCTCGGTTGAAAGTGTCTTTCCAGGGCGGATTCGCTGAACATATCCAAGATAACCTGACCAGAGATGAGAAAGAAAAGAACAGTGAAAAGAAGAAAAGAAAACTGGAACGCGTTCAATCCCTCTGTTTGCTTGTTTGGTTTTGTTTTTTCGTTCCATGCTCTTTACAGATGGCGCAAAATGAATGTAGCTAGTTTCGCGTGACTTGGGCGGTGTTCCTCTGATCTCGCGATTTGAGAAATTGTCCACTTCTGCGATCACCTAGCTAAGCGACGACTCAGTATCTTCATTTCCCTTTTTTTTTCGTTTTGTTTTTTCTTTTTCTTTCTCAATGACTGAAAATGTGACGAGCGATGCAGCTACAGTAAAAAAGAATAAAATGAGCCATACTCACAAAGGATGCGTTCCTCGGTTTTTTCAAACGTACTTGTAGCCAGCTTCTGACCATGCCGCTCCAACGAGTGTGGCCTAGTGAAAAAAGATTTGGTCTCCTTCATGAATCTTTCCAAGTCTGGTGGGAGATCTGTAAGACGCAGCGCGTAAGCTGCTCTCTGCTTAGGAAGGGGGGCGACTAGAGGCTGTTCTGGTTCTTCATCTCCATCATCCTCCTGCTGGTCATCATCAGATGATATGCTTATTACGACGGGAGGCGGTAGTTTGGGCGGTGTGGTTGCTGCAGGCAACGGTTCAGAATGATCAGATTCTTCCTGGTCGCTAGAACTGGACGCCGACTCGGAACTAGACTCCGAAGACTGTGTCGAGGAGCGGGAGCTGTCATCGGTACGCGCTCTCTTGATCTCGCGAGGACAGTCATCGCTATCGCTACTCTGCTCGTTTGGTTGCTGTGCATCACCGTCGTGCCTGAATCGATTGCCCGGAGAAAGAGGTCTCGCGATCGAGCAGTAAATGTAGCTTTGATCGTCATCTCTGTCGTCGTTATCAGACCCAGACGTCAGGTCATATTCCACGACAGTCACGCGCTTACCAAATTCCATCTTCAAAACTGTGCTATGTTTAACGCGCGCGTAGTTGCTTTCTATAACTGATGCTAAGTGACGCTAACACGAGTCGCGTCCCCCCACCCGCCTCTAACAATAGCGAATCCCTTGGGGACTGACGACTAATTACAACAGCTCGGCGGCTTCCGGATAGTTAAGTCGGCATAGGAGGAGGGATCAATACTATTGAAAAATAAATCAGACTGTCTTTTTTTTTTGGTTTTCTAATTTTTCCACAAATGCGCTCAAGAACCAGTGTACCCTCTATGAAGAGATAAAATGGGCTTAAACCGCCAGCCGTCAACGTGCTAAAAATCGAACCGTCTGCCGTGCAAAATGCAATTTTCTTTTTTTTTTTACCGTCAACCGTCAAAAAGTTTCAAGCCACCTCAATTTTGCTTATTTTAGTATTTTAGCTGACCGTCATGGACTTCTGACTCCTGAAGAATCGCGCTCCAAACTGCCAAACAGTTTCCACGTTCTCAAAAAAATTCCTTTTAGACATCACAAAGACCCAGTTAGAACTTGCGTTAAAAACAATGAAACTATTTAGAAAATATATGGGTTCAGGGCCAACATATTTTCAACTGAAACATACTATCTCATTTCACACAGTTTTAACATGGACTGGACAGTTACAGGTGCTGTTTTTCTGGACCTGTCTAAGGATAAGTTCCAGCAACTGATGAAAAATTGACGCACATCGGTTGTCGCTAAGATTCAGTGGTTTATTCTTACCTCACAAACAGATCTCGACATGCGGAGAACTCTGCATCTACCGAAATGCCTAAAAGGAAGTATATTGGGACCTTTTTTGTTTTTAATTTTTACGTGAATGATCTTCGGACTGTAGAATTTTCGATATTAGCCTTTTTGCAGACGGCTGAAATTTCATCCAAAAGGTAGTGATTTTGATCCCAATGATTGGGGGATCTCGAGTGGTTTCAGCTCCTGAAACACGAACAGATCCAAAAATTTTGTTTTGGAAGGACAGAAAAAATATGCCGGTTATATCTACCGTTGAAAATTCAAAAATACGTTTAACAATGCTATGATTAAGCATGGTTTTGAGAATATATTCTCGTTCAGGAATCTATTGCCCCTAAAGATAGGGAAGCCTTGAACAATGCCCGAATCCTCCCTCTTTTTGATTACAGGTTTTTTCATCGCTGCATTGCAATCCACAAGTGTCTTATTGGAGAAACCGATTTCAGCTTTAATTTTACTAAAAGTAAAGCTGTTCATTCAAATAATACAAGACGCTCTAATGATATTCGCTTACCCCTACCCAGAACAAACTGGGGTAAACAAACTTTTATTTTTCACGCCGCGAAAGACTGGAACAGCCTTCCAAATGATTTAAAAGAGTGTAATATTTTATCTATTTTTAAATCCAAGTTAAAAACTTTTTTAAAAGATCTCAGCTAATTTTAAACCTTGATGTTTTTTTTTTTTTTTTTTTTTTTTTTTACCGTCAAATCGATCAAAAGATTTTAAATTTTTAAATTTATTTTACTTGTAAACATATTTTATTTTTATTTTAGCTGACCGTCATTGGACTTAATTAGTTCCTGAAGAATCGCGCTCCAAACTGCCAAACAGTTTCCACGTTCTCAAAAAAATTCCTTTTAGACATCACAAGACCCAGTTAGAACTTGCGTAACTTCCGAAACTATTTAGAAAATATATAACTTCAGGGCCAACATATTTTCAGAAAACATACTAACTTTCACAGTTTTAACATACTGACAGTTAGTACAAATTCTCACCGCGCAAGGTAAGTTCCAGCAACTGATGAAAAATGCTTCGTTGTCGCAAGATTCATTCTTACTTGAAGCCGACATGCGAAGAAAGATACAGGGGCACCCAACGTCAATTTTCGGAAAATATCTGTTCGGAAGACGATTTGAGATCTAGAATTTTCCAATCATTTTTTGTAAAATTTCTTGCTTGCCTACCTCTCCTAGCATTTTCGAACATCTAAAAATTGGTGTAATTGCCCATTTTTACCGAATTTTTACGCTAAAAAGCTCACCTAGAATTTTCCGGAGTTTTTTTTCGGGCTGAAATTTTCGAAAAGGTAAGTTTTGATCCCTACGATTTTCGGATCTCGAGACTTTCAGCTAGGAAACTCCGAACAGATAAAAAGTTTTTAGGAGATAAAAATATGCCTATATCTACCGTTGAAATACTAAAATACGTTTAACAATGCTATGATTAAGTGGTTTTGAGCTATATTCTCGTTGGGTGCCCCTGAAGATAGGGAAGCCTTGAACAATGCGAAACTTTTATGATTCACCCCGATTTAATGATAAAAATACCTTCAGGAAATAGAATATATGGTTACCCCAGTTTTCCACTTATACGCGTAAGAGAGATGAAGAAACGCGGTGCATTGTTTTTTCCGTGAATTGAAGGAAAAATTCATTCTTACTTGCAGCCGACATGCGGCGAAACATTGGGAACCCTTGATTCAAAAATTCTTAAACCACGCCAGTCTTATTTTCTTATTTTCTTGTCTTTGTTGTTGTTGCTGTTTTCTAAGTCCCTGGGTAACCGATCCCCCCTCCCCACCCCTCCCCATAGTCACAAGGTGGTCAGAAACCTCAATCCATGCGTCATAAACAATGCGAAACTTTTATCGGTTACCCAGATTTAATGTTTAAAATGCTTTCAGGAAATATGTTTGGTTATCCCAGTTTTCCAACTCTACGCGTAGGATATCTCAAGAAACGCGGTACGCTGTATTTTCCGTGAATTGAACGAACAATTCATTCTCACTGGAAGCCGACGGGGTGAAATTTTCGGTTGATTAATTCCCTCGCATCCATGTTAACGAAAACACGAGGAGAGAGCCATTAGTTCGAACAAATTGCTTTTAATTTGAGTGTTTTTAAACACAGTTTTTGTCTTACAAGTCACGTCGCCTCAAATGCAGGGAATCCCCTGCGCTGTCAATCATCCTTTGTCATGGCGCAGAATCTGCGCGGAAACAATGGTGCCATTTTTGGAAACTTGTAGCTATGATGTAATGTGGGGAAGAAACGCGAATCATGGCGTACGCATCGTTTGAAGTGAATAACTCATTAAACCTGACCTAATACAGCGTCGTTTTCGAATTGCTTATTACATAATTGTTCTTACGTGTTCATACCTTCTCTCTTTTCTCTGTTAGCTACCTAAAATTCGCTCGAGGGTCCTAAACTTTGATCGTAAATATTACCTCATCGAGAAGGAAATAAACCCCTGTTAACTTGATTAGTAATGATCTGTTTGGAGCTATGATGTAAACACTGTTATTTAAACACAGCCTAGCTGGGATCTTTAAATCATTCCCCATAACAACTTTTACTGTTAAGGTCATTCAAAGATGCCGAGAAAAAAGCGTACAAAAACAGCGGCGGATAATCCAGCAAGGAGTTCGGAGCTGATCGAAACGCAAGCTGCGGAAACTGGCAGGTTGGTTTTAAACGCCCTAAGAAACCTAGTAACTTTTCGCCCGGAAAACGCCAAGGATACTTTCGTAGAGTGGTCTGTTTTTTTCCCCGAGGTGAAACACACGCAGTAAAGTGTTCATTTTGAAAAATTTTATTTCCGTCTCTTTTCTTTCTGCATTGCCCTTTGAACACTCCAGGATCCTATACACGCTTGATTTTTAATTGGTGTTCATAGTGAAAACTCTTTCACATTGCAGTTCCCGTGCTGCTGGCCCCGTTGAAGAAGATGACAGTCGAAGCGAGGGCGAGGAAAGGTATATTAAATTTTATTCAGTGGGCACATATTAGAGTCTATCTACTCCTCCAGAGTTACTTATTGGGACAGGGAATGTCTGGTTTCTTTCTTTCTTTCTAGCAAAGTTTTCAAAAAATCCGAAGAAAACACAATCATAGCTCCCCCCCCCTTTTCTTTTATATACTTGAATCATGGAAGGGGTGCCCCTTGTACGTGGACACACCCGCCGGGAGTTGTTCAAGCAAAGCAGTAGTCTAAAAAACCAAATGACTGTGAAATTAAGTGAAATCCAGGAGTAATTGGACTTCGTTCCAGTGAGGTCGAGTCCTTAAGGTTCTAAATATTGCCATGAAAATTCACACATGTCAACTATTTTTTGGTCAAATCGTAAGAATTAAAATGATGCCCTTGAAAATTTGCAGCCAATTAATTTGGTTTCAGTGTTCGAGAAATATTGTAGCATAAAAAATAGCAGTAAAACACTTTTTTACTATTATTTTTATTATCATTATCATCATTATTATTATTATTATTATTATTATTACTATTACAGCTCTGTTAATATCATCATAATCCATGCCTTAGTAGTTCTCCAAAAAACGTGCTCATTGTATATATATATATATCGATGGGGCTAAAATTGTAAGAGATAACTGAAATGGTTATGCTCTTTCAATATTCAAAAATTTAATTTTATTTGTTCATGAGATAATGATGAGCCAATGCTAATGAGGCAAAAGATGTAAACAAGGATTCACCCATATTCAGAAATGAAACTCAAGTAGCTTTTAAGCATGGCAATTCATTTTTTTTTTCCTCTAGCCATGACAACAACTCACTCACCGATGATCGAACACAACCCCAGGACCCACCAATGTTCCACGTAGCCTTGGACAACCAACGTGAAAACCAGCCATCCACAAGCCGAAATGTTGCACCAGTCATTATCGTACCGTATTTCCCACTTGGACTGGCAGTATCACCAGAAGAGAGAACGCAGTTTAACTTTAGTTTGTTTCTGTATGACAGCTTGCGTTTGCCCAATGGGCTTTTCCCTGATGATGCAGCTGGAGAAGTGGTATTTGAAGACCTGCCGACATGCAGAGAGTATTGTTCACGCTATGTACAGAAAAGAGAGGAATGGTGCGGAAGAGAGCAGGTAGAGTCAGACCACTCGCAAGAAAGAAGAAATGAACTGTCCAAGGAGGATATGTTTCTAACCGCAGGAGAACCCTTGGATGTAACCCTGAAATATGGCAACGAAGCATTTGACCGCAACTTGAACTTAGTACGCCTTGACCTCTTTGGGAATGTCATGATCTTGAATGCGCCCCACTGGAGCGATGTCGCTGCACAGTTCACACATGGTTTCCCTCGTCGTCTTATCATTGACAGCCATCGTGGAATCTTGCCTGGCAACATCACTGTGGCAGCACGCATTTCAAACCAAGCAATTCGAAGTTTGTCCCCAGGTAACTGAGAAAAATGATAGTAATGAATATTAACCCTTTAAGTGCCAATAGTGACCAACATCAATTTTCTCCTAACAATATCCATAGATTGTCAAGTGCAGTCTAAGAGAATTAATAAAATGATCACAAAGAGAAAAATCTTTGATCTTTCATCAAATTCTCTCAACTAATTTCTTAAGGAAATGTATGGAGATCAGTCTGGAGAATTTGTATGTAGATATTGGGGCTTAAAGGGTTAATAATACAGCACTATGATGAAAACATGTTTTAACAATTTTTTCTTCAAAAAACTCCTAATTTTCTCCTAACAATATCCATAGATTGTCAAGTGCAGTCTAAGAGAATTAATAAAATGATCACAAAGAGAAAAATCTTTGATCTTTCATCCAATTCTCTCAACTAATTTCTTAAGGAAATGTAATGGAGATCAGTCTGGAGAATTTGTATGTAGATATTGGGGCTTAAAGGGTTAATAATACAGCACTATGATGAAAACATGTTTTAACAATTTTTTTCTTCAAAAACTCCTAATTTTCTCCTAACAATATCCATAGATTGTCAAGTGCAGTCTAAGAGAATTAATAAAATGATCACAAAAGAAAAATCTTTGATCTTTCATCCAATTCTCTCAACTAATTTCTTAAGGAAATGTATGGAGATCAGTCTGGAGAATTTGTATGTAGATATTGGGGCTTAAAGGGTTAATAATACAGCACTATGATGAAAACATGTTTTAACAATTTTTTCTTCAAAAAACTCCTAATTTTCTCCTAACAATATCCATAGATTGTCAAGTGCAGTCTAAGAGAATTAATAAAATGATCACAAAGAGAAAAATCTTTGATCTTTCATCCAATTCTCTCAACTAATTTCTTAAGGAAATGTATGGAGATCAGTCTGGAGAATTTGTATGTAGATATTGGGGCTTAAAGGGTTAATAATACAGCACTATGATGAAAACATGTTTTAACAATTTTTTCTTCAAAAAACTCCTAATTTTCTCCTAACAATATCCATAGATTGTCAAGTGCAGTCTAAGAGAATTAATAAAATGATCACAAAGAGAAAAATCTTTGATCTTTCATCCAATTCTCTCAACTAATTTCTTAAGGAAATGTATGGAGATCAGTCTGGAGAATTTGTATGTAGATATTGGGGCTTAAAGGGTTAATAATACAGCACTATGATGAAAACATGTTTTAACAATTTTTTCTTCAAAAAACTCCTGGATGTAGCATGGGCATAGTATTTCATTGTATTGCATGTCTTCAGCAATAGCCCTTCACGAGAACAAAATAATCACTTTGTACAAAAGGTAATCAGAGGTACTGCATTGAAAACACAAGATGTAATAACTGAGGTGAATTACTGAGGAATCCCAAGTTTGATTTTTCTTTGGTGCTAGCAGAGTTGTCATTATTACCTTTGACATTGACTCTTGCAGGTGACATAGCTGCTTTCACCTCCAAAAAAATGATGCAAGGTTTGGGATTGACCACAACAGAGCTGATGCTTGCACGAGCTATGGCAATCAGATATGCAGGAAAAAGAGACAAACCTGTACGTCTAATTGACATGATGGCACGCTTTGGAGTTGACTTCCTCACTATAACACCACTGGTATCAGAACAAGTACAAGGGCTCCGACAGGCAAGTTCTTCACACTGGAGGCGTATGCTAGCTTCTGCTTCAGACGACAACTACAGCAGTTCAGATGAATCGGAGCTTTCTGTTAGCTGGGATGCTGCAGACGAAAGAGAGTCACTTCCCTCACAAGGGACATCAGAATACAGCTCATCAGTGACAAGACATGTAGAAAATCTGCTGCAGTGCTATGTGTCTGTGTCCACATCTACGCAGACAACAACTCAGGTAGGGTCTCTCGTGATTAAGAGTAAGTCAGTCCATATCCGATCCCCGGTAAATAGAAGGGTTAGATATAGATGGTTTTCATAGTGACGTCATCAAATTGTAAGGTCAAAATAGCAAGGTTTGACGAATTTCTCATTTACACTAGGTGGAAGACAAACAAAAAGTACATCGTTGTACAAGTTTCCATTCCTGTAGCATGTTTCATTTTGAAAGTACAGCAATTTGAACTTCTGAGTTTTCACAGTCTGTGACACCAAAATAGGAATGCTGTCTCGTTGGAAAAAGTCTCTCCTCTTGATTTTCAGCTGTATAACCATTTCAAGTATTACGTGCGCGAAACGTTTCGGCAAATAACTCAGAAACTTTGGGCCACAAAGACCTGAGACTTGGATAAATTGAAAAGTTTATACTGTACATAGTTTTTCTTAATTTTAATTAATTTATTAATTGATTTATTTTTTAAATTTATTTTAGTGTCCCCACTTAGTGGTTATATACCGCTATTACAGTTTTGACACTTTAATAAAGGTATCATCATCATCATCAAAAATTAGTCTTTTAAAACATTTCATTTTCTTGGTTTCTTCCACTGGACGGTTTCCAATTTATTTTTTTGTTGCGTGACAGTGAAGACGATCTATATCTTGTTAGTTCTCTAAAACAAAGGTCTTGGATGATGAAAATGATCGTAAAATTAGTGTATTATGGTTATAACAGGCACTGCAAGTTACAGCGGAAGCAACACGCAGAGCCAGTGGCAGTTCTGGGATGGTACGAAAAAGAAAGCAGAAAACTCCCAGACGTGTTGTACCCAGGACTGAAGAATCCCAGGTTCCTGTGGAAACACCGACTGCCGACAACCAAAGACAGAGGGATGAAGAACCACGGCCGCAAGCACCAACCAGCCCCCGCGAGCGTCTGCTAGCACTACCAGGAATTGTAGCAACACGTATCCCCAACACCGAGTCATTGAACAGGCTTCAAAAATTCCTGCGGGAGAACCAACCTTGCAACCCACAGCAGGTGAACTAAAATTAAAAAACATTAAAAAACTGCACATTGATTGACAAAATGATTTGATAGGTGCTAACTTCAAAAATATTAGATTGGCATTTGCTCATGGTATGCATAATTTTTAATTTGCATCCTATTTCCTGTGAAAACAAATCATCTTGAGATGTATTTATAACAGGTAAAAGTTAAATTTAGGTCAAAATGTTTCTACCTAGGCTGATTTTCGATTTTCCTTTGTTCATAGCCCTAATTCATGAATAATTTGGGCTGGGAGACAAAGGAAATTGAGAGTCAATCTGAACTGTTAAAGAGACAAGGAAAATTGAGAATGAACCTAGGTAAAAAAATTTTCACCTGATTTTGATTTTTTTAAATTTTCACTACTTGTACTTGTAAAGCACTTTTTATTATTTTTCATTTACTTCATTGATGCAAAGCACCCAGTGGAAATAGTAGGATTGGAGACTTCTTAGTGCTTTAAAGTCGGGTAAATGCATTGACAGTACTTTCTGAAGAATGAACTTGAAATTCCCCATTCTGAAGAGCTTTAATTGTGTACTTCAACAGTTTAGAATTCAACAAAATTAATTCAATCCAACTCACCTGTTACTCTTTTTTTTTCCCTAGGTAGAAGAGGCAAGATCTTCAGACACACAAACTTTGGGGGAGGCTAGACAAACTGTAGCTCTTCGGGTATACACAGATGAACGTGAAGAAATAGTGCGGCAGCGAGTGTGTGATGTTTGGACAGCTTCTCGGTTGGACTGCACCTGCCTTGGAGAGCCAGTCACAAGAGAATCACAGGATGAAGGAGACCAAAATTGCCCATACTGTCTATGCCAGGAAGAAGGGGGAGATATCGCCAATGTGAGAGGCAAATGTAGGAATGAAACCTGTGCTGTTTGTATGCTGATGAATAAGCTGGACCAACGCACAATGACTGCACTTGGCTTAAAACGCAATGAACGCCTGACTGCCATGCTAGAATTGGCACCCTTTATCACAGAATGTTTGAACACTGGAGACCTCCCTGAAGATAGAAGGATTCAACTTTCCAGGGCCTTTTCAGACATACTAAGTTGTAGCACAACCAGACTGCGATATGTTGCAAAGACTGGCATGCTAATCATGCTCTGTCCACGGCTACGACACCTACTGTTGCAGAAAGGTTGGGGCGATGTCTGGTGTAACCTGTCTAAGATAGCTAGTGCAATTGGTCATCACAACGATCACCGCAGCCAAATTGCAGCTCTGATGTTCATCCGTCGCAGGTGCATACCAGACACCAATAGCAAATGGCTGTGGTTTCTCCAGTCAGAAGATCACGCTGAAGAAGAAGAAATTGACAGGAGTGTGTTCCAATAAGACCCAACTCTGGAAGAGAGAAGAGATTTTAAGTCAGACTATGAACTTTAACTAGTATGTTCATTTTGGACTTCAGTATGGGCCAGAGTGTTCCAGAAATGTTATGTTTGTAACATTTTTAAAAAGTTTCTCACAAACCGTTGATAAATACTCGACGTACTGCAGTAGTGTTTCTTGAAGAAATTCATTTTTGTGACAACCATGATGGGTAGTTTTGCTCAATTTTGTAACAAGATGATCAGTGATACTGCCCCACCAAAAGTTAACATTTAAAATAAAATTGACATGATAGTTAAGAAAATGTGTGCTTGTCCACTGCTATAATATTATTTTCAATAACCGCCGCAAAAGGGAAGCAGGTCGCTGTGCCTCCAAAGGTGAGAACATATTCAAAAGTGTCTCCTTTAATTCTGGCTACCATCGCTATACATGGAGCTTTACTTTCCTAGCTTGCCAACCAACTGCAATAAAATATTCTTTTGTTTTCACCTGCATTTTGCTAAAAAGGTTTGCGGTTCAGAGAAAGGAATTGAACAATGATTAGACTGCCAACAAAACTCTGAACAGACAAATTCAAATTCTTTTTTCAGTTCTCAGTCTGAGATCTCTTTTTAGAACACTTTCTATTTTGCCAAGTTTCAACCTCCATATTGAAATGAAACAAATCCTCATTAAGAAAAGCAGTGCATTATAGTCTAAATACAAGGTTTAACCCAGACAGGTGGTAAGGGTTATTATTTAAGCAAATTCATTCCAAATGAATAGTTTCAGGGAGAAATCCACCCTCACCTACTAAAATTTTACGTAGTTACTAAAACAAGGAATGACCTACAATGATCTACAATGATCTACAATGACCTACAATGATCTACAATGAGCTACTATGAGCTGCTAGGAGCTAAAATAAGTATAAAATGAGTTAAAATAAGCCCTACAATGAGCTACAAAATGACAGACAATGATGTTTGTCGTGTGTCACGCTTGGACGTGACACTAAGCTCATGGTATTAAATTGCCAAGCACATTTTGAAAAGGCAAAACAAAAATAAAGCCTGATCTCAGGTAACTCGAGAAACTTGAACATAAATTATTGCAATCGCGTTTTTACCGGTAACACTATTATACCCCGTATCGATGGAAGTCATCCTGCGCCTGCGTGAATCCAGTGTATTGTCACAGTACTGTTTAATTTGTTTGAATAAAAAGACAACACAAAACACAACTAACGGGAAAGGTTGCAAGGGATGGTTTGGACAAAAGTCACAGTACTGTGACAATACAGGATTCACGCAGGCGCAGGATGACTTCCATCAATACAGGGTATAATAGTGTTACCGGTAAAAACGCGATTGCAATAATTTATTTTCAAGTTTCTCAAGTTACCTGAGATCAGGCTTTATTTTTGTTTTGCCTTTTCAAAATGTGCTTGGCAATTTAATACCATGAGCCTAGTGTCACGTCCAAGCGTGACACACGACAAACGTAGCTTAACATCATTGTCTGTCATTTTGTAGATCATTGTAGGTCATTCCTTGTTTTAGTAACTACGTAAAATTTTACCCTTGCGTGTTACGGTGTGGGAATGATGCAAAAACGTTCGAAAACAAGCTTTTCGGAAGCTCACCTTGCCCTGCAGCGCTCGTTTACTCCGTCCTGGCGTCCTTAGCAGGCGAAAAATCAGGAAAATTCAGTCTTAACAGGTAGGCACGATGCGTCGGCCATGTTTTTTTGCACTGAACAGAGCGGGACTGGGCGCCGTATTGTGACGTTGAGTGACGTATCAGCCGAGGGAAGGTTCAAGAATATGGCGGGATTGCTGTCAATAAAATATTGGCCGTGTTTGGAGGAAAATTTGGGCCACCTGGTGGTGGAAGGACATCATTAAGTCCGGAAACCCGCAAGTCAACAGCATCCCTCGAAGAACTGAGGGATGTTCTGAGCCTTGTAAAGCACAACAGCGCTGTTTGAGCGCTCGTAGTGAAGGTTGTGCATCAAGTTCAGATCGATCCAGGCGGCAAGTCTAAGGCAGGTTTCTTGTCGAGAACTATGTCAGCGTGAGTTTTGCGGCCTGCCCTTGCCTGCCGGCTTGACGTAGTTGCCGAGAAGCGACCTGCTTTTAGACTTATAATATTTGCTGGCTTTTGGGGGCCCGGGGTTTCCCTGTCGAAAAATATTCGGTGGCTCATGAATAATTCATGAGGTGACAAAAGGCCGTATTTCGGGGCTTGCCGTCAGCCGCTGCGTGACAGCAAGCCCGAGGCAAGTAGGACAGGAAGGAGAAAGCCTCGTTTGACCCGATTTTTGGGACTCGCTTGGCCCAGGAAAGCGTCGATTTAACTTGAGCGAGCTGGCCAACAAAGTGACCAACGATCTTAGGAAAACTAGAAGTGCAGGCACCCGCGATCCTCTGTTGACTAGAGGGTTGTTGTAGCGTTTGCGACGATGAAAGGATTGTAGAAGTCAAGTCGGACAGTGCTTTACTTAGAGCGAAGGGCGCTGACTGGACTCTGGGCCGCATACGTGGGATCGACGGCCAAAAGGCTGTCACAGAAGTAGTTTTCCCAACTAACCCTTGACCCTAACCGCAAGCAAACTTGACTCGAAGCTAACCCTATGACCGCGGGTTAGCCGCGGCTTGGTCGCGGGTCAGGGTCGCGGGATACGGGTTAGGGTTGCGGGATGAGCCTTAACATTCCTGTTTTGGGGATTTTGGGCGCGCGATGCGGGTTAGGGTTAGGGGACGCAAGTTAGGGTCACGGGATGATCATTGTCTTTCGAGACGGGATGCGGGATACGGGTTTAGGGATCGGATTTCGCGGGATTTGTCCATTTTTCCATGTTTTTCTAATTTTTTGCTATTTTTGATGACGTTGGCCTCTCGGGGCGCGAGATCAGCGTCCCGCGACTCTAGCTGGTTTAGTAAGCCCAATCAAAGTTTGATTTCAAAGGTGACCAAAAAAAGGGTCGGATTCAACCTGAAAATTTTTGTGTTTGCGCTCCTGAAAACTGTCCATTGCAGGGCGGAGCGGAATCCTGGACGTATTGGGCGGCTATTTAACTGCAATGACAGGTGTTTTTTCATATGGCGGGAGGCGCCCAAGCCAAAATGTCTACCTGGTTTAGTAAGCCCAATCAAAGTTTGATTTCAAAGGTGACCAAAAAAAGGGTCGGATTCAACCTGAAAATTTTTGTGTTTGCGCTCCTGAAAACTGTCCATTGCAGAGCGGAGCGGAATCCTGGACGTATTGGGCGACTATTTAACTGCAATGACAGGTGTTTTTTCATATGGCGGGAGGCGCCCAAGCCAAACTGTCTACCTGCTTTAGTAAGCCCAATCAAAGTTTGATTTCAAAGGTGACCAAAAAAAGGGTCGGATTCAACCTGAAAATTTTTGTGTTTGCGCTCCTGAAAACTGTCCATTGCAGGGCGGAGCGGAATCCTGGACGTATTGGGCGGCTATTTAACTGCAATGACAGGTGTTTTTTCATATGGCGGGAGGCGCCCAAGCCAAAATGTCTACCTGGTTTAGTAAGCCCAATCAAAGTTTGATTTCAAAGGTGACAAAAAAAGGGTCGGATTCAACCTGAAAATTTTTGTGTTTGCGCTCCTGAAAACTGTCCATTGCAGGGCGGAGCGGAATCCTGGACGTATTGGGCGGCTATTTAACTGCAATGACAGGTGTTTTTTCATATGGCGGGAGGCGCCCAAGCCAAAATGTCTACCTGGTTTAGTAAGCCCAATCAAAGTTTGATTTCAAAGGTGACCAAAAAAGGGTCGGATTCAACCTGAAAATTTTGTGTTTGCGCTCCTGAAAACTGTCCATTGCAGGGCGGAGCGGAATCCTGGACGTATTGGGCGACTATTTAACTGCAATGACAGGTGTTTTTTCATATGGCGGAGGCACCCACACCAAAATGTCTACCTGGTTTAGTAAGCCCAATCAAAGTTTGATTTCAAAGGTGACCAAAAAAGGGTCGGATTCAACCTGAAAATTTTTGTGTTTGCGCTCCTGAAAACTGTCCATTGCAGGGCGGAGCGGAATCCTGGACGTATTGGGCGGCTATTTAACTGCAATGACAGGTGTTTTTCATATGGCGGGAGGCGCCCAAGCCAAAATGTCTACCTGGTTTAGTAAGCCCAATCAAAGTTTGATTTCAAAGGTGACCAAAAAGGGTCGGATTCAACCTGAAAATTTTTGTGTTTGCGCTCCTGAAAACTGTCCATTGCAGGGCGGAGCGGAATCCTGGACGTATTGGGCGACTATTTAACTGCAATGACAGGTGTTTTTTCATATGGCGGGAGGCACCCACACCAAAATGTCTACCTGGTTTAGTAAGCCCAATCAAAGTTTGATTTCAAAGGTGACCAAAAAAAGGGTCGGATTCAACCTGAAAATTTTTGTGTTTGCGCTCCTGAAAACTGTCCATTGCAGGGCGGAGCGGAATCCTGGACGTATTGGGCGGCTATTTAACTGCAATGACAGGTGTTTTTTCATATGGCGGGAGGCGCCCAAGCCAAAATGTCTACCTGGTTTAGTAAGCCCAATCAAAGTTTGATTTCAAAGGTGACCAAAAAAAGGGTCGGATTCAACCTGAAAATTTTTGTGTTTGCGCTCCTGAAAACTGTCCATTGCAGAGCGGAGCGGAATCCTGGACGTATTGGGCGACTATTTAACTGCAATGACAGGTGTTTTTTCATATGGCGGGAGGCGCCCAAGCCAAACTGTCTACCTGCTTTAGTAAGCCCAATCAAAGTTTGATTTCAAAGGTGACCAAAAAAAGGGTCGGATTCAACCTGAAAATTTTTGTGTTTGCGCTCCTGAAAACTGTCCATTGCAGGGCGGAGCGGAATCCTGGACGTATTGGGCGGCTATTTAACTGCAATGACAGGTGTTTTTTCATATGGCGGGAGGCGCCCAAGCCAAAATGTCTACCTGGTTTAGTAAGCCCAATCAAAGTTTGATTTCAAAGGTGACCAAAAAGGGTCGGATTCAACCTGAA